ACAGACTTCCCTATGTTGAGGGTCAGGTCTAAACCATGTTTATCTTTGCTTGCATGAGTTGATTTCAGCCTTGCAAACAATTTGATTAATGATACATATTTTCAGAAATGTTTATTCAAACTGAAACTGGGCACAGGCCCTTACACCAACAGTGTCACTGTAGCTGCAGCCGTAACACAAATTTGTGCTTGCTTACAGAGAAGATACTGTAAAGGTCAGGGCAAGGCTTTGGATAAACATGAATGATGAGAAAGGGTCATTTCTGGGGTGTTTTTTTCCACACCACTCAGAGATTTAGAAATACCTAGGTTTTATCAAAACTGTATTTCTCTCGATTCCAAGTTTTACCTGTTTTAGATCAATTTGGGCTCCAAATTCAATGCACATTCTAATCATTTCAAGGTCCCCACTTTGAACTGCCAAGTGAAGTGGACTGCACTTTCCATTATTGGTAAAATTGATGTGGGTTTTAGCAGAGTGACCCAATTCTTCACCTGAGAGATGAAAATAAATGAAAATCTTTTAAGCAAGAATGATACAGTAGAAGATACCAAGGCTTTCAAAACAAGTATATTAACTGTGGAGTAATACTCTCCCCCCTCAAAATATGAACCTTTTACACCCACCATTAAACAATGGATGAACACATATTTAGGAAAGCAGTTAAGCTGCGACTGCAATCCTACAAAATTTATTAGCATGAATTGCCTGTAGGAATAGTTGCATTAACTTCTTGTAAGTTCAATCACAGTTACAAGTGCTTGTTTGCAGAGTTCTATGAGAAGTAAAGCAGTAAATTGGTAACAGTACTATAAATAATAAATCTTACTGAGTGCTTGGGAACAATATATTTACCTTTTTTTAAAAGAATCTCCATACATGTTTTTGCACCTGAAAATGCAGCTGCATGGATAGGCATACATCCTGTTTTGTTTGGCTTACATATTTTCCCTCCATTTTCAATCTGAAAAATAATGTCTGGAGATAGCTTAATAACATTCAGAAAATTCTGACTAATGAACTTATTGTTACAGATATCATCTTCTATATAGCTGTAGCTGTCTCCTTTTTATTTTTTTTGTGTTGTACATGCATTGTGAAGCTTATATACAAACGTCTTAACAATATGCTTTGAATTCTGGTCAGCCAGACATTTCTTGACATTTCTTCTACAGTTTTCTAAATCACAAAATAACCACCTTTCTTTTTTTTGCAAAGTATACTTTTTACATATCAGGGATCCCAGAACATATATAAGGATTGCTGGCACTCTCTTCAAACAGCTCCTAAGTATTTCATTAAGATTTTTTTTCATGGTTCAGAAGCATATAAGTGAAAATTCTAGGAAAAGAATGACATAGAGATAAAATACTTTGTATTTCAGACAAAAAGTATTCTTTTTGAGCTTTAAATTACCTTTTTTTTTCCCTCTGGGCTGATCCCTTCATTTAATAGATGGTGATGCTGTATGGGTGTGCACTGAACATTTATGTGCAGTATAATGATCTCACAAAATAAAAGGAGTACACAATATGCATGTGCCTATAAATAGTAATTTGAATACTAGGTCCATGATTAACTTCTCTCCACTGAACAGACAGAACACAGGAAGAGTGACGCTGCACCAAGCTAAACGGAATCATACAAAAAAGGTGGTGGCTAATTATACTTACCAGGAGTGTCAGTGCTTCAGGATTATCCTTATAACACGCTACAATTATAGGCGTGTTCCCTGCTTCACCTTCCAAATTTACATCTGTACTGCTATGCTGGACTAAAATCTAAATGTTTAAGAAAACATTCAGTCAGCCAAAAGCCAAGAACATCAACAAAAGTCTATTCCCTTACTTCTGTTGTTTATAACCCATAGCACTCTTATGACTTGTTCTTTTTGCATGCCAACAGCCCACAATGCATAAGCAGAGGAAGGAAAAAATGTGGGACAACATAAAAACATGCAGGTGAAAAATGCAGGTAAGAACAGACAAAGTAAAATTCTTTACAGCAGACAACAGTGTATCTAGGATAAACACTGCACTTAGCTACAGAGTTACCTTAAAGTTTTATTTAACAATTCCCCCAATACTAGGAGAAAACCTTTTCTGTAGAAAACTGCAGATGGGGATTTTTGACTGAAATTTGTTATAATGTCTCGTAATATTCTGCATTTCCTGGAAAGTGGCAGTGTTGTAGATCCTGCTCAGTCAGGCATCTGTTGGACAGTTATATAGGATCAAGGGAGACAGGGCCTGATGAAAACAGGGATCCTTCCAGTCCTGAATTCCTGCTTCATTCCCTATCTTAACAGCTAACACCAAGCTATCGGTGTCTTTATGACTGCTTTCAGCTTCTTTTGAGAAGCAAAGGATCTGAAAATTATAATGATATATGCATATTTATTCCACTACCTACATATTTATTAAATTCTCTTTCAGTAATTCCAGTTATTTTTTCTGTACTGGAGAAACGGGCACACGTTAATCACTCTCAGGCAATTTGGCAATAGAAACCAAAAGAGAATTAGCTTGAATAAACAACAGAGTGGAGAAAAAATGAAAGTACATATTTAGTCAAGAGTAGAGCTGTAAAATAACCCAAGCCCAGAACTTACATATGGAGTGAAAACATTCTCATTACAGGTGGATAAGTGATGAAAAAATTATGCTTAAAATTTCAGTGCTCTTGCTATTTTGCAAGGTTCAAAATGGATAACTTAGTAATTTCTTCACAATATATTTTTGTGATTTTTAATTGCAGGTTTAATGATTATTAAAATGTTGGTTTTAAGAACTGTTTTCTGACTAATTTTAATCTGATTTTAATTAAAAAATACACTAGTTTCAAGAAAAAATTGATACTTCCATTACTTCCTACATTTGAAATAGCACATTTCTACATGAACTTTCAATGTTAAAAAGAACCTTTTTAAATAAATTCCTTTCTGCTTTGAAAATTTAAAAGAACTATCCATGAAACATCATAACTGCTATAATAGCACAAATAGCAGTATTTATATAAATCAGTAAGTACCTTTTTAATTGCTGTGCTAAGAGACAAACATTTCTATAAGCTTCATGTGTTACACAACCTGCTCACTAAGCCAAGCATGTGAGGTGCTACATCCAGGATACTGCATGTATGAACAAGGTCTCGGTGTTGTGCACACAGCTGCTGTTGAGCTACTTATCAAATCTGTATATTTATGTGGACTTTAGACTTACCTTAACAATTTCATTATGTAGGGACTGCACAGCCATATGCAAAGGTGCCATCATGTTGGAGTTCAGAATGTTTGGATTGGCTCCTCTGTTGAGAAGCAAACTAACACTTTCAACCTGGTTTTTCTTTGTAGCCCAGTGCAACGGGGTATTTCCAGAGGAATCCATCACATTCAATACTAAGTCAAAGGAGAGAAAACAAAACAAAAGCAAAACCAAAGCAAACCCATCAAATGTTCTGATTGCACTGAAAAATAAAAAGCATCTTCAGTGGAGGTTTAGATCTGTGCTACTCTGTTTCTTTAGAGAAAAAGAAAGATTGCATATCACACAGTGTACTGTGTTAAATTGATTTAATATTATGCTGAATACATGGTATTGCTTAGAGAAAATGTTGCATTAAAAATATTAATATACTCAAATAGCAGAGAAGAGTTTGACAAGGTTAGCAAATAGCACTAAAGTTTTTTATTAGAGCTTTTGAAATTATAATAGTGGAGAGATGGGAGGGGTGAAACACCTGTCTACTTCTTGCCTATTACTATACAACTGTTTTCTTCCTCCAAGAGTTATTGATTTCCCTCTTTCCTTGTCTCTTCTCTTTCCTATCTTATCTGACTTTGCAGCTATTGCTTTAGAGGCTGCACAGAACAAGTGAGTGTGACTAACTAAAATAAGAGGTAAAAAATAAGTGCTTGCAAATTTTAAGAAGTTTAAAGATCATATCTATTCTGATTCACTTAAGAACACAAGTAAATGAATTTTTATGAGTTACAAAACTGGTCTATTCTACAGATATATTTTGAGCTTCAAAATTTCAAATAAACAAATATTCTAAAAAAAAATCTGACAAAAATTATATAATGAAAAGAAATAAATATATTTCATCCAGAATAATCTAAAATTAGATTGGCTGTCATTGGGTGAAAAAATGAGCTTTTCAGAGACATTGAATGTTTGCTCAGTAGCCCACAGTCTATCAGTGGAGTCCTATGTAATTCATAATGATTATTAATAACTATTAAACAACACCTTTTACACAGGCTGTTTTTCCATCAATTGAGGCCCCATGTTCTCCTATGTACTACCTTATCCTTAAATTTCTTTAGCTTGCCTATCTCATAAAATGTTTATTCTTCCCCACTATTAAGTAAACAAGTAGTGATGATGACCTGAATGACAAGTATAAGAAACCAAATTAATTACCTTTTACATTCGCAGTATTATAAATGTAACAGAAGATATATAACAAAAATAAGGAAGACAAAAAGTCAAGCCTACTGTACTTCACTGCAGTTTTTGGTATGTGAACACTAAATCTGAGTCTCAGACAAAATAAAGAGATATCAATACACTGCACTAGAGAGAAAACAGCCCTAACATTGTAACAAGGGTGATGCAAACCACATCTGAGACACTGCAAACTGTGGCAGACGGTTTGAACTATATTTGAATCTATAAATGTAGATAACACATACCAGTTCTGCTTCAGCTGGGTAACAAACACTTTGTTTATTGAACGTTTTTATTCTGTTAAATAAAATAGTTCATAAAATGTGTGTTACCTTCGCAGGAAGAATCATCTATGATCAACTGCATTAATTCTATTTGACCTCCTTCAGCAGCGTGATGCAATGGGGTGGCATTTAATTCATCCACTTTGGTAAGCCCAGAACGATTCTTCTTAATGAAGCTCCGTAGCCTGCAGGCACTTCCATCTGAAATCACCTGTTTTGAATACAAATATTCTCATTTTCTCATTTTCCTAATAGACAAGATGTTAGCAATGCTACAATGTGTTACTGTGGGCATGACACCACTCAATAATTCCTTCCCAACTATTTATACAGAAGCATACCAATCCTGATCAGATTGAGTCAACAGTGAATCCCAGATTGATTTGACTGATTGCAAAATTTGACCCAGAAAAGGAATATTGCAGAATTAACATACATGAAAATTATCTTGAATACATCATTTTGTTGTCTTTACTGAGCTCATTATCCTCCCTCCACCACAGAAAATTTCAAACAAGCAAATTAATCACTTACTGTTTTATACTCTCTCCAGCTGTGGTCACATCAAATGAATTCAACAGAGAGGAAAAAATAATAATCTGGATAAATTCCTTTTCTAGACATTTCTACAGAGACTGATATTACATCCTGGGCTTTCAAGATTAGCTGTTGGGTTTCTGTGATGTTCTATATGTCAAAGCAACCAAAAAATTCTTTAATTTCAGCAGTGTCTTAAAAGCATCCCATGGGCTACTATCTCAGCCTGAAACAACCTAGCATTTTCATAGCATAATACAATACAACCCTCTCTGATAGCTGTCCTGGTTTGAGCTAAATAGAACTAATTTTCTATTTCATGATTTTACTTTTCAGCTCAGTCTCTTTTAAGTGGCTGAACTTGCTGAAACTAACGGCATGTTTTTCCCAAACAGTTTGTACTGATATTGTTCAAAGCCAATTGTCTCACAATGGCTGTCGTGTCTGCGCCTACGGGGGAGGGAAGAGGACTCAAAACTGACCAATTAGGTATTCCATCCCACATACGTCATACTCGGTATAAAGCCGAGGGATCACGAGGGTTTGGCCCTTCTTCCATCTTGGAGCCCTTCCAGCTCAGACCCTTCCATCCATCTCGATCGGGCAGTGGCGAAGGTCTGAGCAGACCCCTGCTAGTTCGTCTGCCGCTGATCCTGATTCATGTATTCCTACACCCTACTCCCACCTGCTGTTGGGACTGGTGCGGGACTTTTCCAGTGCCCTGCTCTATAGAGCCTCTGGTGACGTATTCGTCATTGGGGGGAGGATTTTATATTGGTTGTGTATATATATTGTACATATCTGTATATATTTCATTATCTTCCTATCTACATTATTATCCTGTACTATTAGTACTATTGTTTTATTAAATCTGTTAGTTTTATTTTCCAACCTGTAAAGTCTCTTT